GGACTCTGTGTCGTGGTGCACGGGGCACCCTCTTAGCCTCCATCTTGCCTTGTCTGTCCATTTTAACTACCGATCCATCCGCTTTTGATTCCTGGTCGCTGGGTTTTTCGCTCCGGGTTTTCCAAGGTTCTTTCCTGGCTATATTTTCCCCCCTCAAGGGGAGCGTTCCCAAATCCCGTCTTTGCACCAGAGCCAATCACTTTTCTCTTGTCCCTCGGTTCTGTTCCAAGGTACCAAAGATTAATAATAGTACGATATACAAACATTAGAATAGGAACTAGGTAAACAAGGGGATACCTTGTCAGCTATTATATTTGAGAAAAAAAAAAAAAACAAATATGAACATGAAAATGAATTTCTTGACCGATATGTGTGAGTGTGTGTGTGTGTGTGTGTGTGTGTGTGTGTGTGTGTGTGCGTGGATGTATTTGTGTGCGCATGTTGATCCTTGTTTCATCGTCATCCTATTTTGTTAGGATTGTGGTGATCACCTCCAGGACTAGTGGCGATCGTATGTTGGTGGCTCTAGCTCGTAGTGCTGGCCCCGGTTATTACCTATCACACTACTTACCACTTGTGGTCAGGGGAGGGGTACGGGCAAGGATGATGGACGACGGGAAGGGCGGAGAATATCGAGATGAAAGAGCGGGGAAGGGCAAAAGAGAAAAAGCAAGCTCATCAAGGACGAGAAGAGTTCAAGAAAACCAGGTATCTAGATCTGGATTCGAAGTTTGTAAAGCTCAACCTACAGAGTACATACATACATACATACATACATACATACATACATACATACATACATACATACAGTGTACATCAACTTTAGGTAGGATGGGCCTTGAAGTTGATCAATCATTCTTTCTTACCTAAACGACAATGGAGGGTTTCGGTGCATATTGGTATTGTATGTATGTACGCTGTATGTATAACATACAATACCCACGGCGAGGTACAGTACACGCATGAGTGTTTCCTGGAATCCACGTGTATATGGGATCTTCCTCGTCAACTTCCACCACCCTTGGTTCCTAATGACGTCTATTGAGGTCTTTGGTAACTTCGGATGAATCTCACTGGTCCTCGTTCTAATTGTGATGGGGAGGTTCCAAACAAAAGCTTCGTCGGCTAAATCTTGCGAACCATTCTAGTGTAAAAGTGGCTCCCTTAGGTAGATAGGCATCACCGTCAAACGGTGGGGGGAAGGGAACTCTTTGTCCCTAGGTCGACCGGGAGTGGTAATAGAAATACCAGTATCACACTTACAGCGCTAAGGTCCCCCCGGAGCATCGACGGCGTCCTTAAGTCCAGAACTTAACGGTCGCGTGTGGGTCCCATCAGGCGACTTATAAGCCAATGATGGAGGTGATAGTTTGAGAAGGTTCCAGCAGGACCATTCCTCTTTGAGATCCCTTATGCGAGGTTGTAAAAAATTCCGTCGCGGTTTAAAGGGCTGACGAGAATGCGTTTCCTTCGGATTCAGAAGCCAACCAACTAGTGCCCGGTTGGATGAAAGGTGGTCAAATCACAATCTGCTTGGTTGCCCTGCTTATTAGTTTCATTGCTTATTAGTAACTTTTGCCGGCACTCTAAGGTAGTTATGCACCGGTAATCATAACGAGGTAGCACTAAGAAACTAACTAGCATATGCTCACAAGATAAAGACTGGGCCTAAATCTCTGACATGGGAAAGGAAAATCTATTTAGGTTTTGTCTCGAAAATGTATTCTTCGTGCCCAGCAACTGCCGTAGCCACCAAGATCTGTTCATTTTCGATGCAGCGCCAGTCGAGGTGTATCGGTCTAAAGCCTTCTTTAATCAATATCTGGCATACTCCCTAGTCTTAGCCTCGAAGTGACAGCCAATTACGGTGGCACCTCGGGCCAGTGATATAAAACTCCTATTCAGGTTAAGTGTCTCATGACCGTTTACTACTCTGTACTCCGTAGGTATTGGCTATTCTGTTGCATGTTAGTGTTACCCAGTTAGCAGACCAATGGGGGTCTATATATTGCACAAACGGAGTCAGACAATATAACGAAATAACAGGGAAAAGTTACCTATATAGCTACTATACAAAAGTCACTACATCATACTCTAAAACTACCATACTTGGAGGTACCCAGCAGATGGTCAAGAGAACGGGAGAGTACAGCATATCGATACATATTGACAAAGTCAACCCCGGCGTGAAGAAGTTGTTTCACAAGTTACTGTTACACTTAAAAAATAGGTATCAGACCTCCTAAAACTATATATTAGCTGAGATTGACAGGCTACGCAGTCGACCATAGCTAAAGCAGCGCCCTTTCAGGCTGGATATTCTTAACGCCACGCACAGCCGTGTCTTTTTACACCCAGTTACTCTGTAGGTCTGTAGGGTCTATAAAAAGGACAGGCTCTAAGTTGTTGGTTACTAGCATCCAGGATTGTCAACGACACACCACCTGATAGGTAACTTTTGCTGCACAATGACTGCATTTTCTCCGTGGAATGGACGACCCTTCCTTGTAGTGCGGGAGCTGTGGTCTCGATCCCAGGTGGACGGATGACCCTACATTTGGTAATTTATGTTGTCGATACATGACTTCCAAATATCATTCATTTCCATCCACCCCTTGCAGTTCATATATGGTCTAGAGCTACAGTATATGCAAATCAATAATAGTCCTCCACATCCTCAGGCATGCGTGATATATTTTTCTTTGCGGTTTCGTGCACCGTGAGAGGATCGGCAGTTCTGCAATGCCTGTGACTTTGATGTCTGTACAATCTAGGAGTCCGATCGTTGTAATTCACCTGGTTGATCGATCATCTGTTCAAGATCATGAGGGCGGGTGAAGACTCAGGTGAGAGGAATGTATGATATAAATTTGTCCGGTCGGCACACATCTGAATGGAAGGGACTAGGATTCATGGGATAATTGAATGTTAGGGGTATGAAACTATATGTCCATTTCGGTTGTATCAACAATAGGTACCGGATTACGTGTATCGTTGCATACAAGAGAGGGACTCGGGGGGAAGGGCTTTTATAGAACCGAAGTATACAGTTTTTCCTGATAAAGAATGCTTGATTGATAGACGGCGGGGTAAAAGCAAAAGCCCAGTCACGGGATGGCGTCTGTGGTCTGTGTCACTTACCGTAACCACACAAGAGCCGCCCGAAAGAGTCACAATTCGGAAAGTGGGCAGTATTTGTCGCATAATTCGAGTCCTCGATTTGCTCTTCCAGCACCTTTCCTTTTACGCCCCCCGCCTCTTACCCTGTGGTCCACGACTGCAGCCATGGCGTCCGATCTGACGAACCCAATTCTGGACACCCTGTCCGCGTCCGACGCACCGATCCTTTCCAGCGAAGCTTTCCCCTCCCACCCCTCATTGAATGTCAAGAGTGCACTTGATCGTCTGGCCTCGCGACAGATGGTCGAATATGAAACAATTGAGCGTGAAGTCGCCGCACTGACCAAGGAAGGTGAGGAAATCGCCGCCAATGGCAGTCATGAAGCCAAGGTTTTCCAAGCCGTTGTGGCTGCTATGGAGGGGTTGAAGATCGCCGACTTGCCTGGTATTGTTGGAAAGGACAATGCCAAAGTTGGTCAGGGAAATGCTTTCAAGAGAGGCTGGATTAAGAAGGACGGGCAATTGCTGCGGGCAAACACTGACTCTATTGTTGACGAGACCCGTGAGCAGTTGTTGACTGTCCAGAAGACTCAGACTCTGGAGGACCAGAAGGCCCTCGGTGATTTGAAACGTCGGAAGTTGGTCGCCTTCCAGAAGGAATTCAACTTCAAGATCTCCAAGGGGCCCAAGTTCGCCAAGGAATTTGTTAAGGAGGAGACCGACCTTACGGCGGAGATGCTCATGGACGGATCGTGGAAGACGGCTCAACTTAAGCCCTATAACTTTAAGGCTAAGGGCGCCCTCACCCCTTCTGGCGCTTTCCACCCTCTCAACAAGGTCCGCCAGGAGTTCCGTAATATCTTCTTTGAAATGGGCTTCGAGGAGATGCCTACCAACCGCTTCGTGGAGACCGGATTCTGGAATTTCGACGCTCTCTTCGTTCCTCAGCAACATCCCGCTCGTGACCTTCAAGATACTTTCTACATCTCAGACCCCCCTAAGGCAGATGCCCCTCGCGAGGATCCCGAGTTCGACCCCCACCGTCCGAAATCCGTTCAGCCCGCCTCCGCAGCATCCCAGGAGAAGCCGCTCGACTACAAGCAATACTGGGAGGACGTCCGCGAGGTTCACGAAAACGGCAAGTACGGTTCGATTGGCTACCGCTATCCCTGGAGCGCAGACGAGTCATTACGGTTGGTCCTCCGCACACACACGACGTCGGTTTCGACATATGTCCTTCACAAGCTTGCTGCCAACCCACGGCCCGCAAGATATTTCAGTATCGACCGAGTCTTCCGTAACGAGGCCGTCGACGCTACTCACTTGGCTGAGTTCCACCAGATCGAGGGTGTCATTGCCGACTTTGGTCTTACCCTGGGTGGTTTGATTGGCTTCATGGAGGTCTTCTTCGCGAAGATGGGCATCCACCAACTGCGTTTCAAGCCCGCATACAACCCTTACACCGAGCCTAGCATGGAGATCTTCGGTTACCACGAGGGTCTAGGTAAGTGGGTTGAGATCGGTAACAGCGGTATGTTCCGTCCAGAGATGCTGGAGCCTATGGGCCTGCCCAAGGATATGAGAGTCTATGGATGGGGTCTGAGTCTCGAGAGACCTACCATGATCAAGTAAGCGAACCGTGCATAATGTTGATGAATCAAACGCTGACAAGCCCCACAGGTACGGTGTCAGCAACATTCGAGAACTCCTGGGTCATAAGGTCGACCTTAACTTCATCGAGACCAACCCAGCGGTTAGACTAGAGAAGGATTAGACGATCTTATCAAGATGGATGGATATTATTAAAAACCCAAGGTTCAGATCATATAAATGATATCACGTGTTTAGAGCTATCAAAAGAATTATGATGCGCATTGAATGAGACACGCTACAATGAACCGCTCGAAGTAAATTAAAAAGTTTCATATGAAGCCTTTCCCTTGATATTTAACCAAGACAAATATATAAGCTACAAATACTGATAGTATGTCCCACCCGTATCTGTGCCCCAGCGCACGGCTCTGCAACAGTGGCTCTTCAGTAGGCGGACGTGATATTCGGCGGATGGATGTTACTTTCTACCTCCTCGCTCATGGGGGCCAGATAGACGTTTTGTACGTCCAATCTGTGAATGAGGAGGCCTTGATGTGCCGATTGAGCAACCTGAAGAACAGGGAGAATAAGGAAACAGAGACTAGAAAACAGATTTACAGAGTAGACATCACCACCAACGAAACCCTAGCGGGCAACGAAACGACAGCAAAGGAAAAGAGGAAGTAAAAATTTTTTTTTGAAATTTGATGGACTGATTTTTGATTGATTTGACTGGTCTGTATGAAATATCTTCATTCATTTATCTTAAAATCATATCCGATATACCCATGGAACTGGTATACCAGCCTGCACAAGAGCAATAAAAAACCTCATTAGCCTCTAGTACTCCCAAAATCAGACGATATGAGCCAGGGTCTTACCATCGACCAAATCACACCGCACACACCTTAACCAATTAAATAGTCCATTTACCGCTGGCGGGAGGCGGTCCACACGTTGCGGATGTATCCATCACGCTGGGTGAGGCGGTTCAGGGAGTCATCGCTCTCACCGCGGGCACGGATGAAACCGCAAAGGGCGTAGGTCTGGTTCTCGCCGGTGTAGCGGCCGTTCTCGTCAACCTTGCCGATGGAGATCTGGACGGAGGCGTGGTCGTTGGCCTTGATGATGCGGTTGGTGGCGCTGCACTTGCGGGGCACGTAGCTGGTTGAAGAGAGTTATGTTAGTTTTGCTCATCTTGTAATCATTCTTTTCTTTTGCTTTTTGGGGTCCATGTATGTGGTCTGGTAATTGGGAGCATTCGGATAAGTTTGGAGATTTGGAAGAATATGCTGCGCCTCCGATAAAATAGAAAGTTGAGAAAATTCAGTCGCTTGTACTGCGACGTGGTGGAGTTGTTTCCCAATCGGTGGCGTCTTTTGTTCCATCGAATTCGCAGTCATATTCAACTTCCTCTTGCTCATATCCGAAATTGTATCCCAAAACCAAAACCAAACCACAGATTGGGTGGATTTATGGGCAGTGCAACGTACAGATCGACAATCTCTCCCTTTTCGTTCTCCATTTTGGCGATTTGTTAGTCTGGTTGACGACGTGGAAAATTGGAGGTGCGCTGGCGGGTTGAACGGTCGTGAAATTCCGCGACTCTTTTGGGCGTTTCCTTAGTCGACGGTTGTGTGGGTCATGTGATCTTTTGTCGAGGGTTGATGTGCTTGTGTGTGGCTGTGGCTGAGTGGCTGGTGGGGCTTGGTGGTTATAGGGTTACCTGTTTGGGGTTGGTACAGTGCCTGTTTGGGTGGTGTATTATGTAATTTATCTCCGGAGTATTCAGGAAAGATTGTATGTATGTATAAGGTATGTACTACATAGATAGCGTTGAGCGTTATCAATCAACCAATCAATCATAGACTGCTTCGCTCTTTATCCCCCGTAAAGACGTCTTTCTTCCACCGCACCTCCACTTGCAGGGCTGTTCCCTTTGCGAACTTCACCAGTACAACCCTGTCGGGCTCGCCCTGTCTATCCGTACCTTTCAGTTCTGGTCCGGGATGATCTAATGCAAGAACTGTTCGTCCATCGGACGACATCTTGAGCATCTTGGGGGATATACACTTCTCTGTCCACGGGGGGTTACCCGTATGGACAAAATCAACCAACTTTGCTCGTCGTCTTCCCAACTCGTCCACAGAATTGTCTGTCCGAGGCGCTTGATCCAGGAACTGTGACACCAGATGCAACAAGAGAATTTGTGGCGGAAACATAACAACTTCCCCACTGCCTGCCAGCCGGAGCCATTCAGATGCAGGTAGGAACCTAGCTTCGGTGACTTCAATACCGCCATCACTCGTAGGAATCTGGATTTCCTCCCGCTCTCCTTCGGCGGGAAGTTCGCTGAGGAGTGACTTGTCGGACTCAAGAGGCAAGGGCAAGAAGTACAAATACATCTGAGTAGAGTATCGCTTTGGTACATTTGTAGGAGTAATCCATCGTGTGAACGGAATCAATTGCTCTTGAGGGAGAATGGTTAGCAGGGGTTAGGGCTATACAACAAGGGGTAATTAAGTCTAGTTGGCGCTCGAACCTGTGTCTGGGACTGCGGCAGGATTCTGTTGCTTCAGCCACTCAGTGAAAGTCACTTCATTGCGATGAATTTTCTTTCTGCCTTCTTCTCGTTTGTGCTCTGAGACTGCTAACATCTTCCCGGAATTCTGATCCTTAGCGAGGAGAATACCACTTTCTTCGAAGAGCTCTCGAAGAGCGGCATTCCTATACCAGGGGGCATCATCATGCCTTTTTGGATCCTCTACTGGTGGACACTTTCCATCTTGATCAGATAGGTTCCCCCCTGGAAAGACATGAGCTGATGCAAATGACGTAGACGTTTTGACGCGATGAAGCAAAAGTACTTCATTTTTAGGTGAGATCAGTACTACACTAAGTTTTCATTAGCTATCAGCCCTTGCAAAGGCATAGTTACTTATAGCGATATCAGGGTATATAGGCGTCCTGAGGATGATAGAACGGCTAACCAACCTTGAACTCGGCCTCGGGATTGACGGTTTGGGCTTCGGCTTGGGGCCATCCTTCTGCGATGCCATCTTTCCGGACGCAGAAGTGCTTTGAGCTGTTGCAATGGACGAATTTTCTCTTACAGCACGCTTTTCGATATAATGGTTATTTGTAGGTCGGCGTTGTACAGCCAGTAATGGGGTTCGAGCAAGAGTCAGTCGATGATGGAGACACTTGTGTATTAACCGGGGCATTGACACATGAGGAGCCGTCATAGCTGAAGCAGCCGAGGTGTACCGGGAGAGCTTGCTTTTCAAAGGAGGGACGTGAATAATGATTGACTATGGCTGTAATAGTAATATTAGTACTTAACCGGTCACTAGGGAGTAGTACCAGTAACTAGTAGTGGTAGTGCTACTAGCCTAGGCTAATGCATTGCCGTGAGCGCTTACCCCGCCCGTAACGCGACCGCTTCAGGCCTAGACGATCGCCAGTTTTACGACGTACACTTGAGGGCTAACTACTCCGTACTACGCCTACAAAGTAATTTGGAAGAATCGATAATGTAGATGTTTCATCGACATGGAGTACAAATGACTCCACTGTGAAATAAATTGGTGAATGTAATAATCTTGAACAACAAGAAAGCAATATCCACGCATCGAACTCCAGAACCTCATACCCATACTTTTTTCCATTTATTTTGTTTCATGCAAGCCATGCGTCATCATGCAAATACATCCTGAGCATCAGGATAGCTCATAATGATTATATTAACCGTGTGCCCTCGCGGTTTAAGAGTAGAGCTTCTTATCGAAGCTGTGCAGACCGTGGACATTACCCTCGGCCATGGCACTGGCGCTTCTCATTTCGAATCGGACGGTGCCCTTGTTAACACCCTCGTGGAGAGCCTCGAGACTCTGCACACCGATATCCTGCAGAGAGTGCTGCACACCGGCGACAAGGTAAGGAACAAACTTGGTGACAGAGCCACGGTCAAGGACAGAGCCCGCAACACCCTGAGCAACAAGGACGCGGTCCTTCTCAGAGAAGTAACGAGCAGTACCGGCGTTGCTAGCCTTGCTGTCCTTGGCGCCGGCGCCAGCCTTCTTGTCCTCCATGGCAGCGATACTGCCCATACCACGGTAGGCCTTGACAAGCTGGCCTTCGTTGCTGACGAAGTACTCGCCGGGAGACTCAGTGGTACCGGCAAGGAGACCACCCATCATGACAGTCGAGGCGCCCATTGCAAGACCCTTGACAATGTGACCGACATTCTGAACACCACCATCAGCGATCGTGGGAACACCGAAGCGAGCAGCGAAAGAAGAAACGCTGCGGACAGAGATAGCCTGAGGACGACCGACGGCCATGACTTCCTGGGTGATACAAGCACTGCCGCTGCCCATGCCAATTCTCAGGCCATCGGCACCGGCTGCAATCAAAGGAGCAGCTTGCTCCCGGGTCACAACGTTACCAGCAATGACATCAATATCAGGGTGAGTCTTCTTGATGTACTTGATCATCTCGATCTGGTACATACTGTTGCCCTGGCTGCTATCCAGAACAACAATGTCAAGGCCAGCATCAGCAAGCAGCTGAAGTCTGCGCTTATCTTCTTCACGGGTACCGATAGCAGCAGCGCAGATCAGCTGCTTGGAGTGAGGAAGCTTAGACGCAAGAGGGTAGTGAAGGTTCTTCATCAAATCACTGCGAGACAGCAAAGAGACCAGGTTACCATCCTTATCCACGATAGGAAGCTTTCCCTTCTTCGAGGAACGGAGGACTTCGTTGGCCTCGGCCAGAGTGGTACCGGCAGGGGCGGTGACAAGGTCAGTGGACATGATAGCAGTGACTGGATCCTCGAGGTTGGGGTGGAACTGAATGTCCCTGGAGGTGACAATTCCAACGAGCTTAGACCGAAGGTTTCCGCTTTCTGTGGACACATCAAAGTTAGACTGTGCTATTTTCACGCAAGTTTCATGATGACGACTCGGGAAAATATGAATATCAGATAAATCTGTTTCTCTACAACGCAACTCTCGTCGCTCCAGTGGAACGAAAGTTATAATGAAGAAAGATGAAAATCATCACAGAAAATATTGCAGGGCTGATGCACACGATAAAAACAAGAATGGATGCTTACCGGTAACAGGGAAGCCACCAAAACCCCATTTGCTCTTGAGCTCCTTGGCTTCTCCGACAGTAGCCTTAGGAGAAAGAACAACGGGGTCCAGGATGAAGCCGTTCTCATAACGCTTCACCTTCCTCACCATCTCCGCCTGGTCCTCAGGAGAGCAGTTGTGGTGAATTATACCAAGACCACCCAGAAGAGCCATGTGGATCGCCATGTTGTGTTCGGTGACGGTATCCATGGGAGAGGAGAGGAGAGGGGCCTTCAGTGAGACACGCTTGGTGACCGGGGTGTCCAAAGTGACATCTGACGCAGGGAAGCCTGTCATAGACATGAATAACTGGAAGTTATGGACGGTTCAGAAATCGCCCTTACCGATGTAACCAGGCAAGATAAGGAAGTCATTGTAAGTCAATGCTCCGTGCTTGTCCGAATCGAGCAAGGTATCAACATCAAGACCATCTCTGGAGGTATAATCCTTCTCCAGAACTTCGAGGGCCTTGGTGTGGTCCTGGATCTCAGCCTTCATGGCGCGGCCAAGTGCATCACCGTTAGAGATGGGCATTTTGAAAGAAATAAGACTCCACGGTTTGAATGATAACACGTAGAGATCAAATAGAGATAAAGATAATCAACAGATCGTGACAAACGTTCTGTTGATGGAGAAAGTCTTCCTTTCCCAAAGGAAAGAAAGAAGAAAAAAAGAAGAAAAACTGGAGGAGCAAAAAATTGGCTTTTGTATCTTTGCCGCACAAGCTAACGATTCTTTTAGAAAATTCCGGAACAGGGTTAGCGGATCCACCCGACCCCTTTATCATTAGGCTGATTGGCTGATAAACGAAATCTCTTCAAAAGCGGTGAGAGGAGGGGTGGCATTAGTTAGATCTGCTGAGGTAAGCTGTACTTAAACACTGAATTTTCTTGCCATTGTCCCAGAGCGGTATAGATCGTGTGCGTCCAACCCTCGCGTGAGAGTCTAAAGATCCCAGAGCCATCACTAGCTGCATCTTAATAGATAAATAAGAATCGAGCTGGTTTTCTACTAGTCCTACTGGTAGTTATATTTGACGTTAATGTTTCGGCTTCCAATATTCCAATCCTAGTGCCTCAAATGTACTCCAGAGTCTTTGAATGAAACCCCCATTTGCCGAGTGTATGCATGTACACCCTATTAGACCCCTTATTATGGATTTGTTTCTTGTCAAACCCTTGGCGTGGTCATATTCCGTAGACCCTCTTCATGAATTGATAATAAGCGAATCACCATGGTCCTTAGTTCAATCATACCCCTGAGGCTTCCTTCGTCTTTTGAGCCTTAGTCACCCAGGGGGTAACAGTGCAATATTTGACCATCTGTACATATTAGTGAGCAGATGCGCTTGCCAAAAATAGCCTATTTTCGGAAGATATCGACTGTACATACAATAAAGAGAAGCGTCCGAACTCGCTAGGAAGACGAAACTGGTTGCGACTTCGCTTGGCTGGCCAGGGCGACCGATAGAAGACCCAGCGCCAAAGTCTTCCATTTCTTCTGGCGCTCTTGTGTCGACCTGGATAGGCGTATAGACGGGGCCAGGCCTATGGGGGAAATGTGAGATCCTTCTCTCTTCAAAAAAGGGAAAATGGAATAGCAATGCACAACTTACGCTACAGCGTTGACCCGAATACCCTTTGGCATCAGCTGCTTTGCCAGTGACCTTGTAAATCCCACTATAGCACCTTTCGTCGCTGCGTAGTCGACCATACCACTTGTGCCTCTAAATGTCACCGTGGAGGTAGTATTTATAATGCTGAGGATGTTTGGTGAGTTTGAGGCGACCCATATCACAAAGGCTGCATGTACTTACGAATCTCCTCGTGATAGATGCGGTAAAGCGAATTTTGATAGGGCGAACATCTGGATAATGTTGGTTTGAAATACATGTTCAACTTGATCAAGATCAATCTGTGCCAGGTCCTTGCACATGTACTGCTTCGAAGCATTATTGACAAGAACATTCAATTTCTTGAACCTGCCATATGAAAGTTAGAGTGTACAGCATTGGTGGTAGAGGCGGCAGTCCTTAGGCTCGTATCTTATAGACTCCCTCTGATAGGAGAGACATACTTTTTCATATGCTCCTCGACAGCCTGACGACATGTCTCTCGATTAGACAGATCCCCTGGAAACAGAAGACATGTTCTTTTCTCGGCCTCAACCAGTTTCTTCGTCTCCTCGGCATCCTCCTGCTCTTCAGGCAGATACGAGATAGTGACATCCGCCCCTTCTCTCGCCATTAGTGCGGCAACTGAACGCCCGATTCCGGAGCTAAACTATCATCAGCAGTAATATGTGTATCGTGAACAGGCCAGTTCATACTCTCCGCCGGTGATAAGGACTTTTTTGTCCTTCAGTTTACCAGAACCCACGTACTCAACGAAAGTCCCGCTTGACTCCAGCTTAGTCGCTTCACTTGACGGTGTCATTTGTTTTTCAAGCCTTGGATGATTAGCCTCATGTGCATCTTTTCTTCAAGACGCAGAAACTCTTTTTTTATGCAACTAACCCTGGCTTCTGTTGAGCCTGTGGCTCTTGGGGTGCTTGAAAAGTTCCTTCCTTGCCCATTGCAGATGCCATGGTAGCTAATGTGATTCTGTCTTATAAATTTGTAAAGTGTTATATTATTTCTTGTAAAGCTATAACAAAGATAAAAGATACCTGGAAGAATTGTACGATATGAAAGCGTTACACACAAATATATATAGCAGTGCTTTTGATTGCGGTCATAATGGCGTCATGATGTTGCAATAACCACGTTGTATGGATATCACTAGGAAATGCTGTGTTAGTGAAACACTGGTAAACAGACCCAAATTCAATTAAGCTATCAAAGAAAATCTCGTTGTTCCACCGGGAAGACGCATATTAAATTCGCTGGGTTCAAGAGATCTCAATTTGCCCTGAGATTGGCTAGAACTTCGGAAAACACTTCATTTGGGAAATTTAACTAGTTTCGTCACCTAGGGCTCAGCTAGATAAAAGTGTGCTTCAGGTCTCAATTTCTGATTGTTAAGGTACGCTTCCAGTATGTATAATGTATACTACCCATTGCATCCTCATTGCCTTAGGAAGCTAATGAAGCAAGGGGAAGTTGGATTTGTTTCTGCAATGTAGCAAGCTCCAGTAGCTTGAATTACCCCTTTAAAACACAAGCCATGGCGTCGCTTGTGAAAGAGCATTATCCCATCCATTATCATTGAACCAAATGGCGATGCTCTCCACCTCATCCTTCCCCAACTTGAGGTCATTGTATAGATGCTGTGACTGGAATCAACATACATTGTTTACCAAGTACAATGCAAGAAAGAACCAGAAATGGCAATCGTTGCGGTTTGGACTTACCGGGAACAAGCCCTCTTTCGGTCTCGGCCCGCATACGGTGCCCTCGGGGTTTTCCCAACGGAGATTCTCGGCTACACGCGCGTACGGAATCCGGAGAACATAAACAAGGGGTTCATCTTTAAAGAATAACTTCAGCGTGTTCGGCACCTGAAATGCGGTGGAGAGGTGAATGAAACCCGACTGTTGGTCGAGCGTACTGACGGGGAGTTGCTCTGGGAGCGGTTCTCGGACGGGCGCAGTGGACGGTACAAGTTTATAGACATAATAAGGCTCTTTGTCCGTCATTTTTCTGGTTATCTGTTGACTTGCAAGTTCAGAGGCAGGTGATACGTAGATGAATCGTAGGATGTTGTTTTACCCGTTGAGAATAAATATTGGGGACTGTCCAGCGATCTAAAATGATAAGATCGGCAGCGAGTTAGTGGAACCGCTAGTTATGATTCAATCAGTCTTACCTAAGTGGAGGATAATTAACTCACCACTTCCCAAGGTTCAGCTATAGCGTTTAAAGAGTAGAGACTTCCTGAGTCACCTGAGTGTTGTAAATTCCTGGATCAGTTGATGGTTTGATTTGGCGTGTGATTGGGCTAGGACAATCAGCGTGCTCGTCAGGGTACCATGGAAGTCCCTCCTGGTAGCATAGCAGGCAACCTTATGGAGTACGTTGGGCTTACTAGTATATACCAAGCCGTACTAAGTTGCCCACAACCCCTGGAAAATCATTGATCTTCCATCTTGACCCCAAGGTTGTTATGTAGGTATCACGGCATCGTCCAGACATTGAGCGGGAGGGGTATCCAAACTGGTGTACACAGTACATATATGTTGTGATATCAAATACAATTCCAGGTTTACTCAGTACAGTTGTGATCATAACGGAGCCCAGGTTGAGTTACAATCTGACATGTGCTGAGTCCTGTCCACAGTTCATCGTCCTGCATAAATGACGAAAAGAAAATACCGAGGGTGGGTCAGTGATGGGCTGGCAGAAAGCGTGGCTCGATGATAGACTCCCATGTGTATATAGCCTTCTACAAAGTAGAACTTTGATGTATATTCAATTAATTGTCCTTAGTAAGTCTATGCGAATCAAGCGAAACGTACTCTTCAAGACAATATTTGTGCTAACCTGCAAATGGTTCCTTCGATCTGGTTTTCTCTTTTCGTACCTGAAGGGTCAGATGGTGGCACATGAGCCGATCAGTGGCTGGTATGATCGACGTCACCGGATAGGGAATTGTGGCGTATCACCCTGGAGCGCCAACCATACCCGATCGGGAGATTTGTTTTGGCGTCGCTGGGGCTAGGAAGCACTTTCCACTTGGTTTACTTTCCCTCACTCCCCGCTTCTCCATCACCACCGCGGTACCACCACCATCAATCGTCAGTTCAATTATTGACCTTGGGACAAAACATAAATTTAGTGGGAAGTCGTGAGATTTGTCGGGTTGATCATACCTGCAAGTCTTAACCCACGTTTCTTGGGCGTACTTCACTTTCACTTTCACTTTCTCTTTTGCGATTGCCCTTCCAATCAGGTACCGTCAGGAACGCAGAGAAATCCATCCCGTTTCTGTATCAACCCGGTTCCCCTTCCCAATTCTTCCCGTTTCCATAGGGCCATGCTGTTCCTCCCTTGAATTAGCATTCCATCCTGTTTAACTCAACAACTGATCACTTGGCCAGATTGCTGCTTCGATCGAGAGGCAGGTATGCGGCCAATTGAAGCCGAGACTGCTCTATTTTCTTTGGGTTTTGCATTCTTCAGTACGAAGCGGCACCAGTGATGTCAAGCCACTCAGCCTCTCTCCGACGTACCCAGACGGATTTTCCCACCCAAACTTCGAGTCCACTTCGCCATGGCTCAACCGCATCCACAAACTCGTCTGTATACTCGATATCGACTGATTCGCTAGCTCCTAGTCGCACGAGCACAGTGTCCTCCACGGGATCCATGGGCTTCACACCCAGCTTTGGCCATAAACGTGGAAAGAGTGAAGTAAACACCATGAGTGCCGACAGATTCAAGGCGGATCCGAGCCGTTGGTCGAACGCCGGAACAACATACGAGAGCGTCCGCCGCTCACTACGACCGCTCTCTCAAGCACCAAACGCCTCCCCTCCCGCAGTTAAGCAAGTCACCTACGGTCACTCGAGAAGCCGGACGATAGACAATCCCCAATTCTGGAAAGAGAATCGCCCTCAAACCCCTGAGCGCCGCAATGGCTATTATGGAGAAACTGAACCGCTGAAGGAGATTGAGTCGCATGATATGTATGCACCTCCGTCTCCCAAGTCGCTACACGATCTCAGTCCTCTTGCTGTTTCGCCTCAAACAAGGTCCCCGATCAAAACACAGCATTCTCATAGTTTGTCCTCGCCACAACCACCCCCATTGACCACCGCATTGTCTACGCCTGAGCTAGAAACCTTCCAAAAGTCGTCAACTGGACATCTGCGCACATTATCCAAGTTCGCACAGTCGGGCGAAACGGAGGAGTTTGCCTTAGTCAGCCCTTCTGTAGTGGGCCTACTGGGACGACGGCGGTTGAAGCGTACTGATTCAGTGGCCGGCTCAGGTAGCGCGAATGTTAATCGAAGGAAAAATGCGTCATCATGGGCTGCCGGGAACTGGATGGACAAGCAACGGCAATTCTTGCAGGCCTATGAGTATTTATGTCATATCGGAGAAGCCAAGGAGTGGATTGAAGAAGTCATTCACAAGCAAATCCCGCCCATTGTTCAACTGGAAGAAGCCCTCCGAGACGGCGTAACACTCGCAGAAGTGGTTCAAGCAATGTATCCGAATCGCACGCTACGAATTTTCAGACACCCCAAACTGCAGTATCGGCATTCAGATAACATAGCATTATTCTTCCGATTCCTAGACGAAGTCGAATTACCGGAGCTTTTCAGATTTGAGTTGATTGATCTATACGAAAAGAAGAATATCCCCAAAGTCATTCACTGTGTCCATGCTCTATCGTGGTTGTTGTTCAAAAAGGGTCTTGTTGACTTCCGGATGGGCAACCTCGTTGGTCAGTTGGAGTTCGAGCATCATGAGCTTGAACAGACGCAGAAAGGTCTCGACAAGGCAGGAGTCAGCATGCCTAGCTTCAGCGGCATGGCCGCGAATTTTGGGGCCGAACCAGAACCAGAACCCGAGCCAGAGCCTGAGGAGGATCGAATTGAGCGAGAGTTACATGAAAACGAAGCTTCGATTGCCGACTTCCAGGCTCAGATTAAAGGCGCTATGCTGCGACTGAAGCTGGGAAATCTAATGAATGACCTGTGGGACTTTGAACCTCTGCTTATTGATCTGCAGTCAAGGATAAGAGGAGATTGGGCCCGCCAAATCGTCCAATATCGCCTAGACATGCGTACGTTTGCAGTAAATCTTCAAGCAATATGTCGGGGTTTTATTGTACGATCCCGCGAGGAAGATGAGAAGGAAAGTTGCCTGGCTCAGGAGCACGGTATACTGCAGCTGCAGACACTTATAAGAGCCTCCAAGGCGAGAGCCCAAGTGCAATATCTTCAAAGCCAAATGCGAAAGGAAGAATCGGGGATTAAAGAGATACAAGCTGCCATCCGCGGAGCCTTGCAACGCAAGTCTGTTAGCGCTCTTTACTGCCACACCAGAGACGCAGAGGATCACGTCCGGTTGTTACAGGCTGCCATTCGTGGAGCCTTGCAACGCAAGAATGTAAGCGCTCTTTATTACGATATCAGGGATGTGGAAGGCCAAGTTCGGTTATTACAGAGTGCCATCCGTGGTGCCTTGCAACGCAAGAATGTAAACGCTCTTTATTACGATATCAGGGATGCGGAAGGCCAAGTTCGGTTATTGCAGAGTGCCATCCGAGGTGGCCTGCTACGCCACAAGCTTTCAAAGCAATGCGAAGAGACAAAATCTGCTGAAGATGCCATTAGAGACCTCCAGTCTCTCATTCGAGGCTCTTTCATACGACAGCAGATGAGTGCTCAATATACCGATATGGACAGCGTTCAAGGAAATGTGGAATTGCTGCAAGCAGCGATCCGAGGCTCGCTGGCTCGAAATTCTTTATCTCAAATGAGAGACCTGCTTGCTCAAGAGGCCCCTTCAATTACAGCTATCCAATCAGGGGCGAGAGCCTTGGCAGTCAGAAAACAGCAGTCACGGCTTGCGGAAGCCCTCGGAAAGGCAGAAGAGCGATTTATCACGTTGCAGGCCATGGCTCGTGGCAACGCCGTAAGGGAACGGCTTGATTGTCTGCGCGAGGAGTTGGTGGAGCATGTATCATTGCTTATCAGTCTCCAAAGCATACTCCGAGGGAGAGCTACCCGGTCCTTCTTAGCCTCTCAACAGAAGGCACTGAGGAATGAGGAAGTGCAAATCCTTGAGTTGCAGTCGATGGCTAGGGGTTCTCTTGTGAGAAGACGCCTGGAAGCTGATGCTGAAGCACTGCAGGCAGAAGAACTTACGATTATCGACCTGCAGGCCCTCGCCCGAGCTGCAGTGCTGAGGATTGAGGTTGGTGGTATACTTGAGCAACTCGATGACTGCGAGGATGAAGTCAGTCAGCTACAGGCGCACATAAGAGCGATGCTTGTTCGAGTAGAAGTCGGACAATCATTGGCCGATCTCGCTGCCGAAGAAGATGTCATTACAGATCTCCAGTCACATATACGAGGACACATCATACGATCAAAATTTGAGGAGAAGCGTCGATACTACCGGGAAAACATGGAAAAAGTTATCAAGGCCCAAAGCTTTGTACGAGGTAGGGTTCAAGGCCAGGCATACAAGAGTCTCACAAGTGGGAAAAATCCGCCCGTTGGAACAGTCAAAGGCTTTGTACATCTGCTGAACGATAGCGAATTCGATTTCGACGAAGAAATTGAATTTGAGCGGATGAGGAAGCTGGTAGTTCAGCAAGTTCGTCAGAACGAGCTGGCAGAACAATATATTAGCCAGCTTGACATCAAGATTGCACTCTTGGTGAGAAACAAAATTACACTCGATGAGGTCATCAAGCACCAGAAGCACTTCGGTGGTCATGTTGGAAATCTGTTGCCGAACAGAGAAATCGCGTCAAAGGACCCCTTCGATTTGAAAGCCTTGAACAAAACATCCAGAAGGAAACTCGAGCAGTATCAAGTCTTTTTCTTCCTTCTCCAGACGCAATCTCAGTACCTTGCCAAACTTTTCCGAAGGTTGCGTGAGCTCAATACATCAGAAAAGGAATACGAGAGGACTCGACACTTGATGATGGGTCTCTTTGGGTATTCACAAAAGAGGCGTGAGGAGTACTACCTGATCAAACTGCTGGCTCGCTCTGCACGTGAAGAAATTGAGAGTTTTGACTCCATCCACGATTACCTACGTTGCAATTCTTTCTGGACTAAGCTCTTCGCATCTTACATGAAGTCTCCACGTGACAGAAAGTTTATGCGCGATGTATTGGGTACTGTTGTGAAAGAGAACGTTATTAACAACCCGGAATTGGACTTGGAAAGTGATCCTATACAGATATATCGCTCGGCCATCAATAACGAAGAGCTCCGCACAGGGAAACAGAGTCGTCGGCGCTTAGACATACCGCGCGAAGAAGCTATCAGGGACCCTGAAACAAGAGCAACCTTTATCCAACACTTACAGGATCTCCGCGACATTGCCGATCAGTTCTTCACTGCGTTTGAGGAATTTCTATACCGTATGCCTTTTGGAATTCGGTATATCGCGAAAGAGATGTACGAAAGCCTCCTTTCGCGATTTGCTGGAGATGATCCGGGCTTTATCCTTCAAACGACTGGACATTGGGTATGGAAGAATTACTTCCAGCCGGCGCTTATTGAACCCGAAAAGCATGGTGTTGTTGATCGCGGCCTGACGCAGGAGCAAAAGCGAAACCTCTCTGAGATCGCCAAAGTGATTGCTCAGGTGGCATCAGGGAGACTTTTCGGCGACAAAAATGTCTATCTTAAACCGTTGAATAGCTACATTGGTGATTCAATCCAACGCCTTGGCCACATTTGGGGCGACAGTAAGCAATCGATCCCTTTAATCCAACGTCATGGAAGCTAACTTTCCCGCAGTGATCTCCGTACAAGACGCTGAAGCGTATTTTGATATTGATGAATTCAATGATCTCTATGCTAAAACGAAACCGACGTTATACATCAAGTTATCCGATATCTTCTCTATTCATCACCTTGTGGCATCGGAAATACATTATATTTGCCCTAACGCCGATGACATTCTAAAGGAGGTTATCCGCGATCTCGGGAATGTTAAATCCAATGAAAATGAATTGATGAGTGTGAACACCTCAGAGATCAGCCTCACCCTGAACCCCAAGCTTGCACAGGTTGAAGGTAGGAAACCGCGTCCGCCAATCGTCTTGAGGCTAGTACTAACAAGTTGAATATAGATCCGGAGGCTGATGTAAAGGCATTGTTTATGGAAACAAAACGATGCATCCTCTATATCATACGGGTTCAGTCAGGGGCTAACCTGATGGAAATTATGGTCAAGCCTCCAACTGAGGAAGACGAAGAAAAATGGATGACATTGGTCCGGGACGAGCTAAGTGCGAACAACACGAGAAGAAGCGCGTACTCTGAGGCGCATACAATGGTGGATATTGCGTCCATGACCTACTCGGAGCTGAAACGGACTGCACTCGAAAACATCCTTCAGCTTGAACAAACTGGGAAGATTCGTCGAGACAACCACTACCAGGATTTGCTCAATGCCATTGCCATCGATATCCGAACTAAGCATCGTCGCAGAATCCAGCGAGAGAGAGAACTGGAAAGTGCTCGTTCAACACTGGCCCGTCTCAATGATCAAGCCGCCTGGTTAGAGCAGCAGTTCAAGACATACAACGACTATATTGAGCAGGCAATGGTGACATTGCAGAACAAAAAGGGGAAGAAACGGTTCCTCCTGCCATTTACGAAGCAGTGGGATCACCAACGCGAGCTCCAGAAATCAGGAAAGGTGTTCAAGTTTGGTTCCTACAAGTACTCCGCTCGTAACCTGGCAGACAAGGGTGTCTTAGTTCACTGGAAGGGCTATACAGAACGCCAGTGGGACCGGGTCGATCTGACCATTTCCAGCAACGAAGTTGGTGTGTTCACTATTGATGGCAGTAGTGGCCCAATGATGGTTCCTGGAGCGAACGCGCAGGTGCCATTGGATGACTTGCTGCAAGCCCAGTTCAACAACATGCAGTTCCTGGACTTCTTCGACGGGCAATTACGAGTCAATGTCAACCTCTTCCTGCATTTGATCATGAGGAAATTTTATAACGAATGATCTTCATGTGGGGTGCAGCTCTCTTTTCTGTTCATTTTTATTTTTCTTTACTCTCGTTTCTCTCTGTCTATCGGTTTCTTTTTCTTTTTTCTTTCTTTTCTCCCTTATTTTCTGATTTTCACCTATGATATCCCCTTTCCTATTGATGATATGTCACGCATGAAAAAGATAAGGCACATTCGGCATGACGTATATACAAAGCACAACATGCAGGATTCGAGCCAATTCTCCCTGTGTTATGTCCCTTCGAAGATAACCCATTGTCTGTTGTCATTATGCCCTGACCGTCCTGAGATGATTACCCTCTACATTTCTACACGTTACCCCTGTTATGACGACTATGCAGACGATTTTATGTATGTATTTGAGTAGTGTTTAGTACATGAGGATATGTGTGTTTTGATTGTAATAAAAATAGCCAGTAAATACATCTCTAGCAGTAGGAGTCCGTCCTTTAATCAAGCTGTAACAAATACTATGATGCCGACGTCTCCTATGTCCTGGAGCTCAGGGGCTGCCACGTGATCTGGTGGTTGTCTTGGAGCCCAACGGCGTTGCCAAGTGGATTGATTTCCTCGACTCCCGCATCATCCAACCCTCTACGGATTCCCTACCCTTGTCTCTCTATATTCTTGATCCGATAAATAGTGCGTAATATCGTACTCGTGCTGATCGCGTGATGGATCTGTCCAATCTCAAGGAGCAAGTCAGCAACCTGACCTTGTATGACCTCAAGGCGGGAGTCCGCAAGGTCCAGAATGGTAAGTCCCGCATCATGCCCCCCGATATAACTGATATACGTGCCTCCCATTGCCGCGCGATACGACACTGCAGCAAATATACTAACAGTCATAGCCGTCATGAATTATACTGAGATGGAGGCCAAGGTATGTGCCACCATTCCCAAGCTCCGTCCTACGCCGATCCTCTATAGAACTATACATATATGCATGCGGAATGGCTTTCGACTGCAATCGCTTATGCTCAGTAGGTCCGAGAAGCTACAAACAATGAGCCTTGGGGTGCCTCAACCACATTGATGCAAGAAATTGCCAACGGAACTCACAGCTAGTCAGTCAATAACTTGTCCGTTAATACAATTAGCCGGTTGCTAACCAATGTACCGGGAATTGCAGCCAACTACTGAATGAAATCATGCCGATGATTTACAGACGCTTTACCGACAAGACTGCAGAGGAGTGGCGACAGATCTATAAGGTAGGGCTTATCGGACAAGTTAGCGAATTAGTGGATGTGTCTGATTTGCTTATCCTTGAACGTGCAGGGGCTTCAACTTTTGGAATTCCTAGTTAAAAACGGATCGGAACGAGTTGTTGATGATGCGCGGTCTCACATGTCCCTTCTCCGAATGCTCCGCCAGTTCCACTACATCGATCAGAACGGGAAGGATCAAGGTATCAACGTGCGCAACCGATCATCGGAGTTGGTGAAGCTTCTCGGTGATGTGGATCAGATTCGTGCGGAAAGAAAGAAGGCCAAAACTAATCGCAATAAGTTCGGTGGCTTTGAGGGTGGATCGCATATTGGAGGAGGGATGTCAAACTCCAGGTACGGGGGCTTTGGGAGTGACAGCATGTCGTTTGGCGGATACAGCGGGGGTGTCTACGGTGATGGAGGTGGGTTCGGCGGCAACACAAGCGACTTCCAGGACACCGGGCGACGAGGCAACCGATTTGAAGAATACGATGAGTATGATGAAGCAGATGCCAGTCCGCCGGTACGACGTGCAGCAAGCCCGCCTCGTGCTCGATCGACAAAGCAGCCGGAACCGCCAAAACCCAAAGCACCTGAGCCGGACCTTTTTGACTTTGGAGAGGAGGAGGTAGTCACAACGACCTCTACCAGTGCCGGCAAGCAGCCTGCAGGCAGTAACGGCTTGGACGTGCTCGATTCCAAACCCATCGATGACGATGACTTCGATGATTTCCAATCTGCCACTCCCGCACCTGCACCAGCAGCATCGAACCAATTCTCTATTCCTCCACCAGCGAACACTGTGAGCACCACCTCAAGCACTCAGTTTGCTGCGCCGAAGCCGGTTTCCGCTACGCAAGGAACCAATTTGAACGGTCTGGTTGGGTTTACTTCGATGACTCCGACTCCTACTTCAAGTACAATGGCATCCCCAACACTGTCGCAGAGCTCTATGGTGCAGCCACAGCAACAGAAGCCGGCGCAACCGAAGCCAACAGGATTCCAGGCCGCAACACCGAATTACTTCACCTCTGTTTCCGTCATGCAGCCTCAGGCGGGCGTGTCTAACCACCGACCAGGCATGGCGTCCACCTCATCTCTTACGTCTGCCACATCGAGCTCGGCTGCAGCACCTAAACCGGCCACATCGAAGTCCTCGAACGGCGACGTCTTCGGATCTCTGTGGTCGAGTGCCAGTGCCAGTGCAGGGCTGCAGAAGTCGAATGCAAATGCAAGCAAAGGGCCTAACCTGGCAAGCATGGCCAAGGAAAAGGCGAGTGCGGGCATCTGGGGGGCACCCGCAACGCCCAGCCTTGCATCCCCGTCTCCTTCTCAACCCTCCCAGCAAGGGACCAAGACCGGCAGCTCCGGACTGGATGACTTACTGGGTTAATCTGTCTCTCTGTGTGTTCCTACTGTTCTTTCTTTTCTTTTCTTTTCTTTTTTTCTTCCTTTTCTCAAATTATATTTCTTTTGTGCTGAGCAATATTTGCAATATTATTGCGATTTGACTGTTCTTCATTCGCATTTCAAGCAACGAATCATTGGTAGCAGACGATGCCAGACCATCCCTCCTCGATCTCATGTTTCAGGTTCTGTATATTCGGATGGTCACGATAGCTCTTTCATTCTTTACATGGAGTCGAGGCTCGGGAAAATATGATCTTTTTGTTATCAGGATTCCGTCAGAACCAAGGTTATCCCGGGAAAAAAAAAAAAATCTTACACGATGAATGTTTCCAGGCCGTTAGATGGCGTTCTATCCCAGCCCAACCACGGACTCTTTCCAAGCAAGGCAACTTCAACACGGATTGGATAAGGCAAAAGGGGAAGGAAGAAAAGTGTAAATGAGTAAAACCTTGTTCGTAAAAATGCAAAATCCCATCAATCCCTCGGAAAATATTCCCTGCCCCTAATTTCCTCTCCGCCATTGACGGTCAACCCGCCCCGACAATCCTCGTATTCATCCTACCCATTCTCGATGATCAGCATCCGCCAAGGCACCCACAAGTCTGAGCGACCAGCGAGCACGGTGGAGAATGCGATTGGGATCTCTGTCGATCAGTGCTCTTAGTATTGCGGTCATGGATACAGTCCTTGGGTCTAGCCAATTGTTGGTGTGGCCGGGACCACTAACCCTAAGGTTAACATTTTTAGGGGTCGTATCTCGCGAGTCATAGTCACTTTGTTCTGGAAGGGTTTAGGTTGAGGCTACAGTATTGTCTGGTACTCTATGGAAGGGAGGGTAGTTTTTACGAGAAGGTTAAGGTGCGCGTGGGTGTTTTTGGGTTCCATGTCAAACTCTCCATCCATATATGAAGAAGTCTATCTGTGTCTCTGTGTTAAGGGGGGGGGGACTTTCTTCGAGTCCTTCTTTTCTCTTCCTTTTTTTTTCTCTCTTTTCTCACATCTGTACCAAACTTGACTCGATATAGTTCTTAATCTCCACAAAATGTACATCGATACCCTTTTCCCAGACGGGGTTTATCACGCTCTTCTCCCCCGACAAACCTACTCTTCCTGTTGGGGAGGCTTGGGACAAGGAGAATGTCGCGGCTCATCTAACTGTATATCCGCCTCTCTGCTCCCCTGAAAACCTTGATCCTCCTCCGGACGATGTCAGAAACTAATCTACCCTAGGCAAAGGACTTGTCTACACAAACCAATGCGCCGATAACAAAGGTGACGAGGTATGAACCCTCCCCCAAACCCCC